CATTATTCTTTTTACTTAAGCTAATAATACTTATATGATCACTAGTATTAGAATATATTTTACGTATCTTTAAAACCACAAATTATCTTAATTGTTACTTCACAATTTTTCGAGTGTTCAACAGTTGCGCCCACCGTGGGCTAAGATAATAGTGGATTATTTTAGGGTTTAGTTTTCGATAACACACGTTATTCTTCACATTTTTTCCTTGTCAAAGACTCTTTGATTTCAGGCTTTAAATCATGTCAGCACACAAAATGCCTGCGCACGACAGTGAGGGACTTTAGAAAACAGCGTCAAGGCTCGGTTGTACCACCCGGTAAACCCTGAGGGAGTGCCAAATTGTGGAGCGGTTGATATCAGCTCCCACACATCTAAACATGGACGCAGGCACAGGACCCCGAAGGAACGCACACGGGAAGCCTGAGCCGATGGCCAGGAAACTACGGGGAATGGAGAAGGAGGTTGTCAACCTCCAGGTGATATTCGAGATGCTGCAAGTCTCAGCAAGTCGCCATAGCTCAGCTTCAGAGTCAGAAAGGACTCCTACACCCCGAACCAGTAAAACCGCACAGCATGAACAGTGCTTGGGGAGGCCCGATGAAAGCGGCTGGGGGACTGACCCCACGATCATGAAAATGCTCGAGGAACTGACTAGAAGGAATCGAGTAAGGAAGAAAAGAAGTAGAGATACGATAAAAAGGTGGAAAAGAAGATAGGAAGACAACGATAAAAAGGTTGGAAAACTTCAATCCAAGTAGACTAGATACCCGTTAGCACCTCCAGTTTGTTCTGGATAGGGCCTTAGATGCAAAAAATTCATACAAAACCTTTTCCCCAAAGTGCGCTCCGATCCCCATTCCCAAGAAGTTTTGGCATTGCCCGATATACTGAAAATAATGAACAACTGACCCTAATGGAGCATATTACTTCACTACACTTGTGAATCAAAAGAAATGACTATGAACGATGATGAAATCGAGTCAAATATTGTTAAAGAAGTTTGGGGGAAAACATTTACAAAAGGAGCTGATCTGGTATCACAACTTTAGCTCCTTAACTCCATTGATATTTTGCAATGTTGGCGGTATGCCTTCGTAAGCGCATTGCCAGGCCATAAGGTGGCCACAAGAAAAATCGGACGTCTTCAAAATAAACAAAGAAGATGACGAGATGCTAAGTGAGTTCGTGTCCGGTTTAGATGGAAAGGATAGAATTACCCCCATCTCCGTGGACTGGGCAGTCCAGGCCTTTATGCAAGGTTTGAATGAAAGAAGCTCGGTGCATCTCGACACCTAAAGCTAAAACGTGTACAGTATCCAGCTATGACATTGGTCGGTTGATGTGCACAATCGTTAATCAGCAAAATCAGGGGTCGAGATGAACAGTTGGGAGCCCTCTCGGGCTCAGTTCACCCCAAACAGTTTCAAACCAAGCCCCCGAGGACACGACGGGATCAAATCTTAACAAAGAAATATTATCACCCATATCATCGAGGACAGAAGAAAATATTCAAGGTAATGCACTCGGATGATCGAGAGGTA